GAATAGACTTTAAAACAGCTCTGCTTGTGTACAAGTCTCTCCATGGCCTCGCTCCAAAATATATTAGTGACATGTTAGTCCCATATGAACCAGCCCGGACTCTGAGGAGCACAGGGACTGGACTCCTGTTAGTGCCCAGAGTCAGAACTAAACATGGGGAGGCTGCTTTTCAGATTCATGCTGCTAAAATCTGGAACAGTCTTCCTGAAGATGTGAGACAGGCCTCCTCTCTGACAATGTTTAAGACAAGGTTGAAAACAGTTCTGTTTAGCTGTGCATACAACTGAGGGATTTTATATTTTTATCTTTTTTTTAATGTACTGTGATTATTTATGATTTTAATGCTTTCTTGTTCTGTTCAGCACTTTGAATTGCCTTGTGTATGAATTGTGCTATATAAATAAACTTGCCTTGCCTTGCCTATCCGCGTGTGCATGTGCCACTCTTTGGTTGGCAAGAAGAGAGCGGCGCATACTGAAGCATGGATGCAGCGAGTACTTTTAAAAGACTTTGTGGGCAAATAGCACTGTATATAAGCACTTTAATGCAAGAAGATCAGAGGAAATATGAAGACAAGCAAAAAATAAGTATATGAGACCGAAATGAACAAATTCAAAGCCCTTTCGTTGACCTGGGATGACGATTACATTGGTCAGAGTCGCCTCTGTCTTGGCACCGATCTGCTGGGACTGGGACTGGGAGACATTCATTCTTACTTCCTAGAAAACCCGGAACCCTTCACTCAAGAAGGGTTCGTGGTGAAAAACCATTTCTCACGTTTTTCACCGCGGTAAAGTGGCCCGTCGTTTATAATGTATGCAAAGGCAGAGTGACGAAATGCTTTTGAATGCACACCTCACACGCTGTCCTCAATCCTACACGTAGACTGGAACCAGAGTGGTCTGACTGGTTTAAAGACAAATTGAGTCTGGTGGGGTGTACTCCTTATTCTCTTCCTATATACAGTCTTGAGTCTTGGTACCTATAAATCACTGATTAGGACACATTGTGCCTGTCCAAAACTACAATAATAGAAAGGGTTGCTCAAGGACACACTGAATACAGATTCTCATTCTGTACCCTAGGAAGCCGATTTGCAACAGTGATGTTAGAAGGAAAAAGGGGGCAGACTCTCCCAGAGTCTAAATACCAACGCAATAAACCGAGAAACAAAATCCCAATCTTGTCCCCGTGGAGCTCCAAAAGACTGCCTGTTCAGTGTTTAATCAAAAGCGGAGCTTAGATGGTCACATTCGAGAGCGCGTGAACACACAGTGGCTTTGAGAGGCGCTTCAGCGTAGCACACCGCTCCACGCCCGAGCAGCTCCTCTCACTATTAGCACGGTCTCACTGGAATGAATGGGCACTAGCACTGTTCAACTTGAATAACAACATGGGCACTTTTGCTCAAATGTTATTGAAGCTGAGCAGGGACTTGAATGGATAGTCTGACATGAGTCAAACTAGAGTCTGCAGCCACAAAGCCAACATACCAACATGGATACATATCAATATAGACATGAACATTTAAGTAAGTTTAAAAAGTTTACAAAGGTCGTGGGCCTTTTTCCTCTCACTCCTCACACATTGATGGAAGCAAAGTTACATGATGGAAGATGATCCCCTACCACTACATTTTTGTAGTGGTAGGGGATACTGGAGCAAGCCGCAGGAAGAACATGCAAACTTCACGCAGAAAGGCCACTCTGGAGGTGGAATGAAACCCAAACTTCTGCAGAACTTTAGCTGCTGTGCCACAATACTTAAAAGAAAAAAAAACCTAAACTTCACTGCATCCGATGCTATTTTGAGTTGTACTTTATGCACATTTAAACTGGTGTGCAACTAGATAATGTGCTCTGCGTGACAAGCATGTGCTGATATTTTGGTAAATCAAAGAAGTCGCATGCTGCAAGGGCAGGGAATAATGATCGTGCTGATAACAGAGACTGTTAAATGAAGCTGGATGTGCACTGCTGCAGGCTGTTCCTCTGTGCCCTCTGCCATCATACAAGTGCTGTGCCATGTTCATAGTCTTGTCTCATACAGGTCTAAATATAGTATGATTGTTCAGTCATATGCATACTTTTTTTGTTTGTGCAGGCTACATGCAATTGCCACTAAGCTTGTTTTCAAAGAAGTATCGTCTATTCCACGGGAGCACCCTTTCGGTTTAGAATCTACTCAGGTGGAATCCCAAAACAAGATGACATACTGTAGAATTAATCAGCCACAGTAAACTCCCTTCTTGTTCATTTGTGGATTCATGTGGATGGGACAAATTTGACTCCAGTACCTTACATGAATATTCAAAACAGCAATTAACGAAGCAGAGTTATGTAGACTCCATACTAATTGTGATCGTGTTGGTAAATGCACCAAGCCGACAATCAGATGTTCGCACTAGAACATTTTAATCATTTTAATAACACACTTCCCTTTCCAGATTATATGTTACTGAAGTTTCATTGTGAATATTTTGATCTGCAACAATTATTTATTTTATCCTTAACTATATTTTCTGAAGTTGACTGGAGTTGAATATATCAGACATTTAGAAAACTAATAATATAGATAGATATTTTGTTATTTATATAGATAGATAGATATTTGGATAGGAATGACAGCAGTTAGATCTGGAAGAGATACACAATGGTCTGTGACTCGTGGTTTGAGTGAATACTTATTGTGACAGTAACTAAGACTGGTATTGATCTTGTGGTAAACAACGATTGATTATCTGTTATGCACACAGAAAGAAATACAGAGTGAACATCAGTTACTTTTCAAAATGTGAAGAGAGAGAGAAACGCTTGCTTCCTGAATACATTCATGCAAATCCTTGAATTGACGGAGAGGCGCTCTTCCCCTCCGTCAAACTATTCTCCTCCATCAAATCTTCCTCACTCAATACTAAAACTAGTATCAAAAGGATAGGTGTCTTGCCTAGGGACACAATGACAGCAGACATCAGTGGGGGCAACAAAAACTAAATAAAAATAATGATAATTATAAAAAGTACAATCATTTAGTTAAAAAAAATATTTCAAATGAATCCCTGGAAAAATAGAAATTCACATTGAGCAATTCTCAATGTGTTAAAAGCTCCTTTCCTGTCCTTTCTCTGATCTATGGTTGTACTAATCATGAGTGTGGCTTCACTAGATAAAGCTACAGTCGAAACAAGAACTTTACATATTCAAAAAGATCATTTTGTTCTGTTATCTGTTTCCGTCATCAGACACTGGGTAAAAAAAAAGAAAGAAACAGTATACAGTATAAACGTACACTTTCCATTGCAAATGGGATCCAACTTCATAAACATACAGTATATGACGTATGACATAAATAGATAATAAGCAGAAAAGATAAGATAAGAGAACGTTTATTCGTCCCACAGTGGGGAAATTTCAATGTTGCCGCGCACATACAGGACTGTAGTGACAGTACACAGTGTAAATGTTATAATAAGTAGATTATTATTTACAGATAGGATGACATGTACAGGCTCAATAGTTCTCATTGTACAATCTGACAGCATCAGGAAGGAAAGACCTGTGGAACCTCTCCTTCACACAGTGAGGGTGAATAAGTCTGTCACTGAAGCTGCTCTCCAGAGCAGACAGTGTCCTGCCAGGGGGTGACAGTCATGGTCCTGCGTAGATGTTAGTTTGTATTTGTATTTTCTAAGGCAAATTCTAAATCTAAAGTAAAAGCTAAAATATAACTAGGGGGCTGGCAGTTTGGAACGAGAGGGGGTGGAATCCTCTGATTCCAACCAAACAATGCATGAGCAGGACCATGCGTTACACAATTCATGAGACATCTTGTAGTTAACAGTTTGCAAGATGAGGTGCTTTGACTTCAGCGCAAAACCATGCTTGTCCTTAGTGTAATTTTAATTTGCATTTTCTGTTATAAGAATACTCTAAATGTTGTTAATGGTATACTGTATGTAAGAAACGGCCACTGTGAATAGTATTTTCTCCATAAGACGCATGCAAAAGAGCCACCAGGTGCATTCACCCAGTCTGACGTAATCCTCCAACACTTTAATATTTAATTGAAGTGCTGTAAAATTAAAAGGCACAAAGAGGAGAGGGTGGAGAGAGAGTAAAGTCTCAGGGGGTGGGGTGTAATCAAAAACATTGCAACCTTAATTACAAATAGATTGATAATAGATTATGTAAAGAGCAGAAGAGGCCCTTGACTCAAATGATCACAGATTGAGAAAGTGCACTTTTAACAACACCACCTTTCTCCTACCATTAAGATACTTAACATGTTGATAAAATAATAACATTATGTGTATTACTGTTCACTGTACAAAATGAGTCATCTCAACAAAAGCAAAACAGCACCTCCATCTGGCTATTTATAGGTAGTGCAACTATAACATGACGTCACATAGAAAGAGCTGGATGCTTTTTCTACAGTTTTCAGGATCAGGATGGAATACCAAAATGACCCCTCAAATGCCATTTTTATTCATGTTAATATTGTATGTTTTTATAGCACCACAAGTCTGACTCACAAACTCCCGTTATTCCAGTTATAGCATAACATGCATAAATGAAGATATATTAATGTTCTAAGAACCACACAAGTGACATGCCACCACACGCTAACTAAAACTATTGTGTTTGAATCAAAGATTTCTATAACCATGTTGGGTAATCATATAATCTTTGTTAGCTATTTCTATATCCCACTTTGAAAACCACTGTTCTAAGATTAAGACTGATTTAATAAATATTTCAGCCATAGGTCCCTAGGCCCACGGACAGAAGCGAGGCAAGCACCCTCAGTTCCCCACCAACCATTCACACACACACACACACACACACACACACACACACCAGACTCATTCTAGGCAATGTGGATGAAATGTCTTGCCTAAGGACACACAGCGGTTTGGCACTTTACAGCCACCCCGCAGTGGCACCTGGTGTTCCCAGAGGTCTGGCCTGCGTTGTCCAGTTCTCGCTCTGATATGTCAGTTAGAGGCCTGCACGTGTGACAGAGCTCTCCAGAGTAAACAGGCCCATGTGGGAGCTGACGTGCTTCTGGCAGGTGATTAGCACCAAGTCAGAGCCCACTGCAGCAATGAGCCCTGCGCACAAAGACCCCACATTCAGACATAATTATGATATTCACACATGTCCTTCACATGTCCGCAGGCAGCTCCATTAACACATGAAAAACATGAAATGATGAAAAAAACTGAGGTAGAAACCATATAATTAGCAATCCCAGTCATTTGAATTAGTTAATAATGAGAGACAGCGAGTTTGTGGCTTGTGGATGAGGTTGGCTCACACAGGGAAGGGTGACAGGGCGCAGAGGCTAATGATTCTGTCACTCAATACGCTGGCTGCTCTGTCACTGCGGTCCACCTCCATCTTCCCCAAGCTGTCAATCTGAACGGCCTACCTTAGACAAGAGAGAACAGAAACTTTCAAACTCAATACGTACTCAATAAACTTTCCTTTGACATCAGTGCAATCACAGTTTGTTTATGAGATACAGACAGTTCATGGATAAAAAGATACATTATGGCAGTTTCCATTTCTATAATTAATACAAAGTTCTGTGACCATGAAACTATTACTTCATACAATAATCAATTTTATTCTTACAAGACATCCTGAATGAAGACTTAAGGCTCTCTGTCATCTATAAAGCTTCCCTAAACCAATTCAAGGAAATCCCTAATCGCCTTCCCAAGGTTTTTTTTTGTTTACGTTTTCTGGCTGTATTACAGTAACAGGATTGTGAGACAAATCCAGCTACACCCATCCTCCAGTCATGAATAGATTGGTGGGGTTAGCATTAATCTGCAAAGCCTTATGTTGCTTTTGCATAATTACCATAAATCATGTTCATGCCCATGGTGAGACTACTATTTGGGGCAGCAAAGCAAACTGAGTAGACTTGAAGTTTATAAAAAGATAGGATGAAAAGACGTTTTTCATTTTTGGTGAGTTAAAAATGCATTCAGGCTAAGCAAAATGTGTTCAAAACAAACAAACACGCAATGTGTTCTGGAACATGTATAATGCAATTACATTTATGAATCAAAATCTCTCATTTAGCCATCTTGGCAGCAGCCACATCGCAGCTGTTTCGTCCTTGGACATGGTACTTGACTAATTTAAGTCACCCAACATGAATTCAAACCGTGTTTGATAAGATATCAATTTCCATATTCACGTTCACAAACACTAAAAGGCTAATACTAATCTCTAAATAAAACGCTGCAGAGATTTGTAAGGAATCTGAAGTCTTAGATTAAAAATGACATCTCTGTGACAGTTGGTGCGGGATTACAAAGATATAATGGAATTCGAGGGGGAACGCTGTGTGCTTCCCGCTGCTTATAATCGGCTACTGTTGGAGAGCTTGGAGAAATCTTGGAGTTTGCCCGGCATTCAACGAGTTATCTGAGGACAGCACTGTTAACAGGGAGATTTAAAGCTAATTGAAATGACGACGCCCCAAGAGAAAGTAGTAATTTCTCCCCTGTGTGTTTGTTTGTTTTGCTATTGAGATACTTGAATACGCATACTTTTAAACCCGCTTCATCTTCCTACATTCCCTATGACTAGCGCAGCTGCATGACCTGATAAAGTCAAGTGGATGGTGCATGGCTGGAAATAAAATGGGCTCGAACAGTGCCAAGTGAGAAAGTGTGCGTGTAAGGCAGAAAATGAGTGTGAAATATTGCAAACATTGATGACGTTATTACGGAGGAGACACCTGACAGCTGGCAGAAGACTAGCCTGGCTCACTGCACCTCTGAGCACCAGATGGTCTCACCTGATCTGACCATTTCACTCACAAAAACATTAGCACAGTGGATACTTACACTAAATCAGATCGGCTACGGCTTAATGAAAAACTGCTCACGAGTAGGATTGTGGGCGAGGGAGTCTTGGTTCTCTAACTATAAAATAAACTACATTCTTGAGGAAAATATCACAGGTTTTTATGTGCAGAAGTGAAGTAGGGGCAATCATCCTCTCCCAAACTCACAGTATATTCAGGTTTGCGTAGTAAACACTTTTCAAACAAGACTAGAGCATACACAGGCCTGATTTCACCCCGAAAAATGTCTGCGTGTACAATACTCCTTACAAAAGTACAATTCAAAGGGAAAATAGTACACCCCCGACTTTAAATAAATCAATGGAAAACTATATTCAATTCAAAAGCGATGTCCCCATACATCTATATGAATCCAATCAATTTTAATAACATGATCACTACAACTATTTCCTAATGAAAATAAAAACATATTTATATGTGTTTGCTCTGAATAACTTTATATAATTGAACCTTTTTAATATATAAAATAACATATTGTACGTTTGACTTCATAAACATCTGTAATCAAGGTAAATGGAAGTTTTACTATTATATGATGCATTTTAATAACAATTTGAAACCACTATAAATAGACTGCGACGGCCCAACATCGCCCTCTAGTGGCCAGTCTCCCTCACTATCGCCTAAACCATCAAATCAGCACCAACTTCACGGACAGCTCCTAAAGACAAAATCTAAACTTATATCTTGAGGACTAGGCAAATGCAAGTCATAATTTCAGTTCACAATTTTCTGAAACAGCAAAAAAAGAATACCTGTCCTTCATGTAATATGTTGGTTTTTATTGCTTGTCTCCCGGTAATTTATTGGCAATCTGTCACGACAACACAGAATTCGAGCAGCTCCCGAACGGTATGGATTGATGTCCGGTTATAAAAACATCTATCATGTGGGCAGACTGAAATTGAAGCTTTAGTCTGTGTATGTGGGCTGGTCTTTATCACAATCTGGGGACGAAAAGCTGTTTATACTGTATTTTATGGCTTGCGGGGACAAAAACCTTCATGATTAGTGCAAGAAAGTGTAAAGTTAATAGTTAATGTTAAAGTTACTAAAAGAGAGTTGATTGATTGATTAAATTATCAATCTCTTGAAAATCCATGTTTACATTTTTGCACATAAAATCAGATAAATATAGATAATAGATTCAGTTCACACATTCCTCCTCACATAATATTTTTTAAATAAATCTTTCTGGTAATGCTTTTGGTAACTCAAAGCTTTGTGTCTAGGCTGCGTGAAAAAAAGGAGAAACAAAAATCACATATAAACTCATTATCCTCCAATGTGCACAATTTGATGGCAGTTTTATTACAGTATGTGAGAACATAAGGTGTTGTCTGGGATCCATCAACATAATGTTCCAAAAAACATTTGAGCATATGTTATGTTTTGTTATCTCCCACGGGGTTTGCGTTCCTTGCCGACACAGGAAGGTCTAAGGGCAGTGATGATCCAGGACAATGAATGGACATTTATAACATTTATGGACATTGGTCATCCACCCCTAATGGACCAATGGCTCCTATTTGGCAATGGCAATAAAAATGATTCTGATTCTGATTTGTTTGTTATTATTGCATTTCCTTTGTTTTAACTGTTTCATTGTCTGATCTGTGTTGGTGAATTGACTACTACTGTTGAATTGCATGTTATGTAAAAAATAATGTGATCCACTTAAGTCACTTTTTATTTGTTGTTTCTGTTATAAATAATAATAATAATAATAATAATAAACTTATTATGGTATATTAACAAATTACTTCCAGGTCTTGATGTTTCCTGTTCTGAATTCTGAAAAAACAACACCAGACAGCATTTACTATAGTTATAAGTCAGATTGTTACTAGGCAGATTGCTACTGATATGATAATATAACATGTTTTAGTTGTATTTTGTTTTATTGGGACTTGAAAATGCTTTAAAGATATCAGAGCTATATCTATAAATACACATTGTGCAGTAATAGCAGGTCACACGACTGATGCTACAGGTGCAAAGGTTGCCCATTCAATCAGATGGCTACCTTGTCAGATTCACACACACCCTCCTCCAGTGTAAACATAGACACAAACCCACCTCGCAAAATATATATTGCTTGGGTCGACAGAAATGAAAGCATTAGAAATTCAAACGTGTGGAGCTGTCATCTTTGGTAAACGCATCACTTTACACCAAGGGCAGAAGATATGACGGAGAGGCAAAAAGCAGAAGTTAGCGAGTTCAGATAATAGAGCAGATTTCACACATGCTTCTGTGATCAATCACTGAAAATAAAAAGGTCAAAAAGCGATTGGAGGGGAGCGGCCGGCCGGAGAGAATCTACCGTATCAGCAATTCAGGCCACAAACCAACATCTGTTTTTCATCCTTCCTCTCCTCACTCGTTCACTTCACACACACGCATCTGCCTTGACCTTAAGGTCCTTTGCACACATCCACGCACACTCTTTACTTTCCTCACAGCAATGATGATCTGCCACTGTCAGCAGCTCCGAGACACTGAGCTAAGCATTTCCTGGTCATCCCCAAGGATCTTTAACACCAACATGACACCACCTGGTTTACTGTTATCCTACTATGGGACATATATATCACTAAAGGACAGGCTGATGACTTTATCCAGGACCAAATCATCTTGTGTTATGGGGCATTGTCAGGTCTATATAGAACACCTTGTTTTAAGGTCATGCTCTGCTGAAAGGGCGTTTGACAGAAAGTAACAACATTGTGCATCCAGGTGGAAAGTGTGTTATATATATTTTTTTTCTATTTCAGAGAATGTGCTCATCAAAGGAACCTTGACCAATGACCATTGCTAATTCAAGCTAGTCAGCTCTGCAACCTTTAATTTTTGATGAATCATAAGTGAAGAACATGCTTCAGAATTCTCATCCAACACTGAACTGGATAAATCTGACGGGATTTGGCAGTTGCTATCTTGTATCTCTCACCTGTGTCGTTTGCTGTTTTAATGGGTATGGGAAATAACATGCAGTTTAATGATTTTCAAACTATGTATGTTAAATTGATCTGGATCTGAAATTCAGATGCAGGCCTTGCAGATGTCCACATGCTGTTTATGCCCTGAGGGTCAAAACATGGTTCACATATATGCACACACAGCAGAAACTGCACATGTACAGTATATTATAATATTTCACTGATTCATTCACTCACTATTTCTTAGACGACATTTAACAAGAATCATATTTGAAATTTCCGACGCGTCCTCAGCGCTTATCGCTCATCTGACCTTTGAATCTGCAAGAATCCAAATCAAACAGTCTCTTTCGCAGTTTAAGTGTTTCTTTGTAAAAACCTTAATAGTACTCTCAGAGCTGTCTTCAAGATTTAACCTGCCTGTTGACTCTGGTCTCACAGATTAGTGGAAAAGTGTACACACTCTCACTATTCATCCGGCGAGCAGAAGGCAACGTCAGAGCTGAATTATAATGACCGGAACACAGAATCCCAGGGCTTTACAGCAGTCTGGATACATGAAGGGAGAATGTGCAGACTAAGAATAAGAATAAGGCTGATTTCAATGCTCAATGTGTGATGGATGTGTGAGAGAGCGTGATATCCAGGCCAAATCCACCACTATTTCACTATTTACTGTGTGTGACAAGAGAAGGGCATGGATGTGAGGCTGCATAGACGACCACGACCTGGGTCAGGCTGCCCTCTTCTGGGCTGCAAAAGAAGTTTGTGTGTCTTGCTCCTCCATCTTTTTCAAACGGCTGCCAGAAATCTGATTACTGCACATTTAATAAAACGTATGGCAAAAACTATGCTTTAAAAACTATAATGATAATAATAATATCTGGATTTTGGACGCTTCACATGTCATTTTCATTCACTCCATACACGGTGGTGATAAACAATTACTGTAGCCACAGCAGCCCTGGGGCACACTGACAGAAGCGAGGCAACCAGAATGTGCCATCTAATCACCACCAACCATTCACACACACACACACACCAGATTAATTCTAGGCAATTTGTGTGAAGAGTCTTGCCTAAGGACACATTGTCAATTTGGTACTTTACAGCCACATATGCCCCCTGTAGCACCTGGTGTTGTCAGAGGTCTCCCATCACAGTACTCACCAGGCCATGCCCTGCTTAGCTTCAGAGGTCTAACGGGAGCTGGCTTTCACATGCAGGTGTGTAGTCCGATAAAGATCAACTTAGTAGAGTGATGATAATGAATTGATTGATAAACTAACAAGAATATTATGTCAACATTATTACTTCTGTCTATTTGACTCAAAGGTAAATGTATGTTAAAAATTACAATTTAAAAAGTGTATCTGTTTATAGAATTGTGAATGAAGAGTTCATATGACATCTGGAAAAGCACTCATAAGCCCTATTCGGACGGGATTAGTTTTACATGGGGACCCCTGGTAATTTGTGATAATCACAGAGGACGTCTGTGATTTTAGTCCCGTGCGAATGCGCCATGTCTGTAATTTGTAAAGTCATAATTCCACCGCAAATGACCTCCTGTATTTGTCCAAACACAGACGTCCTCTGATAATACTAATCCCGTGATCGCTATTGCTGCTTTCGCTTGACTTTCTGCTTTGTTTTTTGAGTTGCGTCTCTGTGAGATCTATGGAGAAGTGTAGAGGACAGTGTAATGTGTTCACTGACACTAAATGATCAGACCGATGGGTTGCATTCGTACGTTTACTCTGCACTCTGTGGTAATACAGTACAGACGTGTTGATTCAGCCGTTACTGCAGCTGCTTGTTGGTTTGCGCGTATGTTAGCAGAGGATGTGGGGCGTTCACGGGTAGTCCGTACAAAAAGTATTGTTTAAATATACAGAAAGTACAGGCCAGAGAACTGTAGAGCAGTAAAATCCACATGTATGTGTTTGTCCTCATGATACCTGACTGCTGTGGTCAGACGCCAGTCTTTGTGAACTGCGTGAAGCGGAGAGACCCGCGCACGTGCAGCCGTTATGTCAGATGTCAGTGAAAATTACAGACATTACTTATCCCGGGCGAATGCGCTGTAAGATCTCAGACGTTCTCCGTGATTATCACAAATTACCAGGGGTCCCCATGTAAAACTAATCCTGTCCGAATAGGGCTATATAGGATAGATCTCTACAGTTCCAATCCAAAACTTGGATCCAGACAGTGATCTGGATCACCTCCAAAATCTAATCATTTGTTCCTGGTCTCATTCCAGAGATTTACTGAAAAAGTAATTCAAATCTGCACATAAACCTGTGAGTTATCTTGCTAACTCTCAAACAATAAAAAATAAACCGAGGTGAAAACATAACATCATATTTATATAGCGCCTTTCACAAAGCAGAGTCACGAAGCGCTTTACAATTATTGTGGTCATTTGTCCTCTCACCCCACACAGAGAGGGGAGCGAGGTCCCCTCATTTTCACTTTTATTTTCCTTATACAACAGACATGGTCTAACTAAAGACTAATCCACTAATTAAAGAATTACAACAACGACGAACAAGAGCAAGTCTATGTGTTTCCATCATTTCACAATCACTAAATCCAATTATAATTAACCACATCACAAATACAAATGTAAAAACTGCAACCATTTGTCTTGGATTTCATTTCTCATTCAGCCCATACATTACAAAGCTCCCGTCCATAGAGAACCATGTAAGAAAGCAGATATTTTAGGCGAAAAAACAGCCAAAACACTAAAGCGTGACTTACTGGGGTGCTTCCATCTGACAGGGTCGTCATGCTGATGGACATGCTCATCTTGTCGGAGGAGGAGGAGAGTGACGGAGGGGAGGGGCTTCTCTTCTCCACCTCTTGTCTCTGGAGGAAGTCTCGCCAGGCCTTTTGAATACTACACACCATCATTAAACACAAAGCAATGAAGCAAGACAACACGGGATACACACATTTGTTCACTAAAATAACACTCACATCAACACCTTGGTCTCGATGGGCTGCAGATTCATATTCATGTTGTCCAGGTCCGTCGTCACGTGACCACTGCGGGAGAATATGGGGGGTCATTTTAAAGGACAGGTGTGCCTCGCTGATGCTCTGAGGCAATCACACAGGCTATCAGTAATTAAACAGCCTGGACTCGTCTAGTGGGAACCGGCTATTATATGTTTTGTACAAGTAGAAAACGTACCTCTGCAGCTGGAAATGGCCGCTGTCCACCTGCTCCAGTCCACTCTGGAGAGACTTCAGCTGCTCCTGTGGAAGAATGTAGAAGCAGCATGCACTTTAGATCACAGTTTGGAGCAGAAAAAATGATAAAATATGAGGTAATAATGCCTTGAATTCAGTGGTTTTTATCTTAATGTGAGTTCATTCTGACTTTCTTAAAACAAAATTTGTCACTGGAACAAGCCAGTTAAAGTCTTTCTTTTTCTAAGGGAGACCTTTCTTGTAAGTTTTTTAAATCAAGATCATTTTGCTTGTCCTATTGGGAAATCTAGTGTAAAGGCAGTCAAAATGCACCCAAATTAACATACATTTGGCCAGATTTGAGCAATTTTTGTCTTATTTTTGTATCCCTTTTTGCAGTGAACCCAGTGCATCTGTACTACAAATGCATAAATTCATCCAACACATGAGCCTGATTTGATTGTAGTACTTTTGCTCAATTAAACAAAAAATTACTACTTTAATAATTAGCTGATTAGTGAAGCAGGACCTGCCCTGCTTAGCTTCAGAAGTCGGACGGGATCTGGTTTTCACTCTGAGTTACGGCCACATGTAAAATGGCTTCAGTGACTCGCGGGCCGACCTACCAAGTGTGAATGTGCGCTTACTGTAACTTTATTTACAAGTATTGCAACGTTTTAGCAGCTACAGCTTTGCAAGAAAGGCAGTGTGATAGATTTTCAAAAAAGTCAAGAAGTCATGTCTGTTCAGATCATACATTACAGCCCTACCAAAAAGTACACTGTTATATTTGCATAGTAAATATATTAACAATAGGCGTTGGAAATAAACAGAAAAAGTGCAGTTGAAGATTTTATTCAGTGAAGCAGAATATCTTCCAGAGATTAATGCATAGAATATCACTTTGTCAATAGGATGTCAGCGTGAGTGAGTAAATAATGATAAACACGAGCAGAGCTGCAGAAATAACTCTAATCCTGGTGTATGTGCAAAATGTTGAGTGTAAGTATGAGTGGATGCTGATCAGTGTGATTGAGTGTGCTGAGCTCAGGCCTCCACACTCACTGGCAGATTATTGGCATGGCCTGAAGTCCCCTGAAGTTAGCAAAGTAAACCTCGGCACAAACTCCTGCCAGTTCAGCGTTTTCCAGGCGTTTGGCCCAGACACGGAATGAAAGAGTCAAAAAGGTGAGTGAAACCAAAGCATTCAGCCAAGGTTCAGTTCACAACCAACCATAGAGCAAACCATAGAGCACCTGTTAGGCACTGGCTGTTCTGCTCGCTTCACCTGCACCGCATTTCAGGAGCATTTCACACTTAATCAAGGACATTTTCAACACACAATAATGGTTTCTTTCTACTACCATCAAAACTAGTCTCTGGAAAAGATCCTTTTTTGAAATAAGACTGCGGCACAGTGGCTGAGTGGGTATCACTCATGCTGTACAGCAATAAAGTCATGGGTTCGATCCTTTTTGAGGGCAGTTTGCATGTTTCTCCTTGTGTCTGGCAGAATTTCAATTAAATGTATGTATTTATTTATTGTATAGCCATTAGTCATAACAGTTGTCGTCTCAGAAGACAAAGTTATTGATTCGCCAACACCAATCAGAGAATCAAACAGTTTGAACAAAGGAAATTGAATAATAACAAACACATAGGAGCACTTGGTCCATAAACGTCCATAAATCTCCTGTGTCATCATCTCTGTCCTTAGACCCTCCAGAATCAGCAAGGAACAACTCAAATCCCAGCGGGAAAAAGTAAGAAAACCTCAGGCAGGCCCACATTGATGGAGGGTTTCCCGTTTCCCTAACCATGAAAAAAATGTACCGTGAGACAAATCCTCCAGCTCCGGTAATCCTGACCAAGCTGAGTATCAACATCTGGAGATGGTTCCACAGGCGGGGAACGATAGCAACCACTGCTCCCAACAGGACGCCCAGGTGGCATTGAAGGATTTCCCAATGAAGACAATAAAGTATACCTCAATCTTAACCTTACGGATGTCATGCTTTCCATATGCTAGTTACTCAAAGCTACTTCAATTCAAACAGCACTGTACCCTCGAGTGTCTTGCTCAAGAGAATAACAGCATTTGTCCGTGGGAGCTGGAATCACACCAAAACACACAAAAACCCACTTCAAAAATGAAAACCAACTACTGCTGGTTTTCATAATAGTTTTAGTAACGAGTAGCATGCCAATATCATAGAAAATCAATGGGAGTGTCCAATGGAAGCAGCTTTTCTCTGACGCGATTCAAAACTGTTGTGGTAGTTCACTTCCCAGCGCTCTATGTTTAATAGTGCTGCGTAATGAGGACAGGCCTTCCTCTACATAATTGAGCAGACTAATTCAATTACAAGGGAGCAACAAAGTTTAAGTGGAGCAGTTCTTCCTGACGAGCACACAGGGTCACATCAGGCCACAGACTCCTTCACTGGTTCTATCGGGGCTTTTACAGGGACCATTTTGCATGTGCACTGATACAGTATGTGAATAGGATTTACAGTATATTCTCTCTATTAAAGCAGCAACAACTGCATTAACATACGGCACCACTTATTATAGCAAGATATTATATGGGCTTTGATAGTTATTGCTTTTTTATGTACTCACCACAGCATACGTATGCTTTAATGCTAATAATAAATACAATAGTATGTGTGGCAGTGAGGGATTGAATATACAGTATAGGTAATTGTTGAGTAATAAAACTAAGAATTTCAGGGACCACAACACACAGAATCACAATGTCATGAAACAGTTACATACGCAGTCGCACTCCTAACAATCCTAACCCACATTAGTTGCATCTTGTTACATCTATACTTTCACCAGTGCATTCTAGGTGTTGGACAACCGTAGCTCAGTTGGTGAGTGTGTGTCTCTTGAGCTGAAGGTTGGCAGTTCAAATCTCACATAAAAACCTCATTCGCTGCCATGCGCCCATGGGCAAGACACATTAACCCCCCTCTCCCCCAATTTTTTTTTTTTGAATGATGCGCTGGGAAACGGCTGCAAGTCCTAAGTAGCTCTGAAACAGTTGTTACTTTGGACCAGAGCAGAGAAAATGGTCCGAACCAAGCGGCTACTCCACCTTTTGACCTACCATGCTCCACCCAGAGGCTACACCACCTCGGCTGCTGTGACCTGCCATGCTCCACCCAGAGGCTACTCCATCTGTGCTGCTCTGACCCGTCCTGCTCCACCCAGAGGCTATTCCATCTCTGCTGCTGTGACCTGAAGGGCTGTTGCTGATTATTACTATTACAATAAAAAAACAATTGTAAATCGCTTTGAGACTCCGATGTGCAGTGAAAAGGTGGTATATAAATAAAGCTTACTTACTACTACTTACTACTATTGTTATCTTTTTAGAATGATCAATTTTATTTTTTATTTTTGCTGCTACTGGACACCTGAATTTCTCCTACGGGGATCAATAAAGTGTCTATCTATCTATCTACACTGGCGTATGAAGGGTTGCTTGATGTAAAACCTTTAAAGTGCCTTAAAAAGGTAGAAAAATGCTACATAAATATGACCATTTACCATTTATTGCTTCTAAATATATTTATGTGGCTTTTATGAGTGAATAAGTTTTAATAAAAGCTTGCATTTGCATTCTAAATATCTAATTGGTTTGGCTGTTTGCCCAGGCAGAGACTGGCAATGTTTTCCTCATTACTACACCCCCCTAAAGTAACAAGCAGCTCATTAGGAAGAATCAGGGTCTTTGACGCATGATCAATGGTGCCTCTAAAGAAGAGTTTTTCTATACTTTGGGTCTTCAACTTCTTTTTATTATCCTTTCAAATGGCAAGTCACAAACAATGTCTATGGAGTCTGGGTTCGGATTCACCAAGCATCTGCCAAGTGTTATATTAGCTGAGCATCAACTGTTTTCATTTCCTACACAAACTGATTTGGCCGTTGGATTCCCCGCTTACAGCTCCACTGGGTGAGCTTTGGAGACATCTGAAGTGGAAGTAGACAGATCAGTCATTCGCAAATTGCCTCTTGAGAGACATATAAAGTCAAACTCAACAGAACAGATCCGTTGTTCAATCACTCACTATATAGGCTTTGCGGTAGACATTTGAACTTAGTTTGTAGAAGTTATAAAAGTCACTACGGTGCGGAGAGAAGATTTGTGTTGTCAAAGTGATAAAAGAGGCGAGTGAATGAACGTTGGCATGCAGAAGAGCAAAGAGGAAGAACTTCAATGTATAAAGGGTTTTTGAGGTAATATTGTAAATATATAGGTGCATGTGAATGAATGACCCATTTGCAAAGCTAGTTTGGTGCTCTCCCAAAGTTAGTGGTTTCATTTCATAAATCTGCAAGAAAGTATATTTATCTATTCACTTGTTCACAATTGGTTTTTATTCCTTTTTGGATTAACAGCAGGACATTCACTATGAGACTGTATAAAGGTTCTGTAAGAATGTGTGGAAAATTTAACTTTAACTTAGAATTAAGGAAATATCATCTACATTTTGAGTAACATCCAAACTGAGCCCAAAAGGTTTACACATAATTTAGAGACAGGGTCAACATGAAATCTATAGCCATTTTGGGCTAAGGCAGTGCCAAGCAGGTCTGTATTGATTATATAAGAGAATGCTGTTGAATTTATAGCATAGCAACAAATACTAGGAGACTGCTGAAAGATACTAGACACCCAGGACCAGTCTGATCCAACCCCTCTGTTCTCCACAAATTAATAAAAAAAAAACTACTTAAAACAAAAGATTACATTTGACCACTGGAAGTAAATCAAGTAGCACTAGAGCATCAATAATGTGCAGCACTGTGGGTGCCGTAAGAAATACGACAAGCTCCTGGACACAATCATTATCTGCAAAGTGTGTTCTTGCTGTTGCAAAAGGGTCACCAAAGGCAAAGACTTTCAGTTCAGAGATAATGGACTAAAGGAAAACAAATGTTGTGAGAGTAATGTTTACCCCTTGTTTGATGAACCGTGTTGAGGAATAACCGACAGTCACTCTGGATATGTTCAATAGCACAAAATAGAATAAATAGTTATCATGTAACCGGTTTGTGTCTGAACAAGAAACTCTGTGTCACATAGACATCCATAAGTGGCAACCCACTACTGTGCTATTCTGGCCCATTACTCCTGACAGAACTGTGGTAACTGAGTCATGTTTGTAAATTGTCAAATGCAATCTTGTGTGGATGGTATATCCAATGCAATACATTCTATTTTGTGTTCTGCCTACTTATATGAGCATTATGACCATCAGAACTCTCGTTCAGAACTCATGGACAACAGGACAACATGTAATTAAGAAAAATTCACATTTCCAACCTTCACCACCAATAATATGTGAACCCGTCGACCTTGTGTCGGAGGACACAGATAAAAGCCATAGATAAAACTTATGTAGCGCTTTTCGTGACACTAAAAGACGCTAGATGTTAGTTAGAGTTACAGCACTATATAACATACTTGAAAGTGAAAGAGACCGTGTATTTAAACTCCTGATTTCCAACTGGATTTGTACCTGACAATAAAGTAATGATCTCTTATCGCTCTCAAACCTAAACAGATTATACATTAGATTCATATGAATGCTGTCAGTGTTGCTGACAGCATTCAGGGTCCTGATATAATCTCAGCCTTTATTTGCCTTATTGTTTTTATATTGTTTTCATAGTATTATTGATGTTTGCCTTGGCTCTGGGGCCTCTGGCTCTGTCTTGTTGAAGGAATGTTTGATATACCATAACACATTAGTTTGTCCAAGTGGTATAGAAATTCAGTTGTCTTTTAATATTGAAAGAAAACACTTTAGGATATTGTTTTTTATGTTGAATAATTACCTTAAAACCGATAGACTCATTGCATTTCGGCAATACAAAAGGGTGAACTAATATATAATAAGATTTCACCAATGAAAATTACATTTTTACATACCGTTTTATATTACAAGCTGTGTATATGTAGTGTTTTATATGACAGTAAAAGCCCCATTTTACGAATCTTTACATGAAATAGAAAAATTAAAGCCACAATGTAATAAAAAAAAATCTATGTCTGAATATCAAGAGGCTCTCGTTGAGACACACACTGGTAGATAAACTATAACGAGAAATGGCACAGGCTGAAGCCATTGTGAGTGGCTGCATTGACTGAAAAGGTAAGGTTCTGAATGTGTGGTAAGGTTCTGAATGTGTGGTAAGGTCCTGAATGTGTGGTAAGGTCCTGAATGTGTGGTAAGGTTCTGAATGTGTGGTAAGGTTCTGAATGTGTGGTAAGGTTCTGAATGTGTGGTAAGGTCCTGAATGTGTGGTAAGGTTCTGAATGTGTGGTAAGGTCCTGAATGTGTGGTAAGGTTCTCAATTATAACACTGACAGGGATTGGACTTACCTGTAGATGAAGATGTCAAAGTGTTTTGACCTCAAAATAAACACTTTCTCAAGTCATCAAGTGAGCTGAAGCCCAAACAGGACAGGAGTGAAGTGTGAGGCTGTGAAATTGACTTACATGGTGCAGCTTGCAGCTACAATGGACAGGGGACACATTACGGTGGTGCATTTTGCGCTAGACCAAAAGTGATATGGCTTAAAATGGTCAGGGGAGATAAAGTACCGGCTCCTGAGGTGGCTATGGGACGAAAAAGGCTGGAGAGGGGGAAGATGAAAAGAACAGGGCTTTGGGCTCTGAAGAAATTAAAGTGGACCAATGCCAGCCAGCCACAAAGTCCCGGACAGAGAAAAATAGCCTGCCTTCATCCCAGCCGAACATGTGCTGTAAATCTGTCCCCTGCTCCTCTGGAACCTGCCACACACCTCTTCCATGGAATAAATGGTCTGTTCTTTTACATGAGGCATACGACAGTGGGTAAACTATCCCCACACAATACTTACTTGGATGTGTTAATGTGATCAGACCATTTTAAGTCACAATGTTATGAAGTTGCAATGGTAGTAATTAGCAATAGTATGTACGGCTTTGAGAGGCTCAGACCCACATCAAATATCAAATGGGTTAAATATCTGTGATTGTAGCAAATATCAGCAGTGGTGAGTTTATTTGTCCCTCAGTGTGAACATTTCAATGTTGTTGTTGCACACATTACTGCAGAATATAAGGAGAAAATCAGAGCACTCAGGTTGCACACTTCAAACAGGATCTATTATTTAAGATAATAGATAATAACATAAAATAATAAGGTTATAAAATAAAACTCAGAAGCCTTTTTTTTTTTTTTCAAAAGGCAGAAAACATGACGTTACAGTGGTACAATTACATCATACTATTACATGTAGATAGATAGAAGGGGATCTAATAACAATTCCAGGTCAGATCAGAGAACAATGTTGCTCTTGCATATTGTAAATATTGTGCAGTTAGCCTTTAAACTCTGGTTGGGTTGGCACTTTCCAGAGACTATATTTTTCCCCCAAAGCTATAAATTCCAATGTTTTCCAGCGTGTTAAAATTTGTGCCCAGAACTTCCATCTCCAGATGTGATGCTTTTCTGCATCCTGCCAATTTTAATTTTCTGCCTCTACTGCTCACGAGGCCGAACAGCTGTGTTTGTTTTGTTGATCAACTTAATCCAATTAATGAAGAGCATAGCTCACAATACAGGAGGAATATTTATGTAGCATACTATATATTAAGAATTATCTTTGTAGCATACAATTTTAATCTAGTCACATCCCTGAATAAATACTGTAATAATCACACAATTAAGGCTTGGTATCTTTCTGAGATCTCAATATGGATGACACGATATGATATGTATCTTGATATTACCTCGCCAGACACACTACAGTACATGCTTTTTCAATCCTTTACAATTGTATGTTGTCTGAGAGGGCGCGTCAACTCTGCAGTTTAGGAGGTAAGCCATAAACTGTAATTATGAACGGACGTAGTCACGCCTATCTCCGCCGTTGAAACTAATTTGCCACCACTTTTGCCTTCTGTGGGCAGTTTCAAAATGGCTGTGGGGCATGAAAATGTTGAAAAAACGCATTTGCTAAACTAGAATGGACAAAAAAAAAAAAAAAAACTCCCTTCAGCATTTACACATCTGGAACACAGCGTTGGGCCAAGAGCCGACATTTGTACCATCATGTAAAGCCGTTTTTGAGAAGTAAGATTACGCCATACAAAAGCATTGAATAATTCTCTTTCTTGGTCCAACCTATGGATCTATAATAATAAATGGATTGGGTATTACTAGCTTACAGCTGTCCCACCTATATGGGCACAGGGGGCGCCCGTGGTACTGCAGACTAAATTCACGAGGGCTACCCAGAAAAAAGGCCCATAGATCTCATTGTAAATTAGAACAGCACGACCTCAGCTGACAGAGAACCTACAGCTTTAATAAAGATCTGATTTTGTGAGGACTTTAGTGTCCCTTGTCATCCTGAACTTTTTTTCTTCTTAAATCCTTCGGTTTTCTTTAAATCCACACTTTACTGCCACAAACTCTGCTCCTTGCCTTCCCGCTCTGGCTCCGCTCTTCCACTGTTCTGATGAGCAGCTCTGATTGGTCAGAGCGCGGCCGAGCCCCTCTGTGCGCGTGCATGAAAGCCACACACGCACGTCTGGCGCGATGCATTATGGGAGATAGCGTAACGCATCATGGGAGATATCCACTGCGCAGAACCGGGAGGACCAGACGATGCCCAAATATAGGCGAGTTCAGCTAATCTCCCGGTCTCCATGAAGTCCCATGTGCTACTGAGCACAAGCCATTCATTTGAATAGGACGCCATCTTGGATCACCGGGGCTTGGTCCACCCTCACCGGCTTGGAGTGATATTGCAAACATGTCAGTACACGAGCTCATGGACCTTTTTGAGTCGGGACCCGCCCCCACTGGGGGAAGCATGACAGGATCAGCCAATTAGAGAAATGCCAGAAATGAGGCTTCCCGCGCTATCTTCTCCTTTGGTTTTAGCAATGTTATATCCTCCAATAAAAATTAAAAAAGACAGACAAAACATATTTTCAATGTTGGCTGACAGGCTTATCTATAAATAAGGGACTTCAATTTGATATAATTTGATTTGATATATTTATAAACTATTTGATACTATTCTATTCAGTAAAAACTAAAGGCTTTTGGCTTCTTACCTAAAGCCCCATCATTGCATTTATCTTACAATTATTGAAGAATGTTAGTTGAAAATGCTGTAGCCTCATGCTCCTGTTTGCTTCAGCATGCAAAAAAATAAAAATAATATTATGATTAAAATAAAAAATAAAAATTATAATAATAATTGCACAGCCCTAGACCTGACAGCCCTAGACCTGACAAGAACCAACATAATGTACAGCAATGATCTTTTATACATTTATATTTTAATACATTGAAAGCCAAGCAAAACAGTAGATTTGGCCGTAGAAAAGAATCCCATGAAATAAATGGCACTCAACTGTTGTGGTTTCATCCTATGGTGATTTTGTGGACCAAACAATTCTCTATCATCCAAAATTTGATAAGACAAAACCCCATAATGACAGCGTCCTTACAAGTTCAACACCTCCCTACCATCTGCTCCATTACAAACTGTACCATTCCCTCGCACACAGAGCCGAGCAGGCAGCCACTATCACTCAGCCGTTCCCTGGAGTGCTTTGGTCAGCCAGCAGACGCCATCGCTGCCATCCGTCCTGGCTTCCTCATCGCTCTCCTCTGCCACATCACCGAATGCCTACGAGTGTATGGCCAGCACGAGATAGCGTGCACTTCTGTTATCTCGTTTGGGCTGGCCAGACTCTCCCTCCACCTGGATGCACTCGATGTGGGCATATTTGTGCAATGTGTTCCGGTGTCCAGACAGGTGCAATCCCGGGTCCTGAATGTCTCTGAAAACTACACCCACTGCTTTTCGTATATAGATATATATATCTCCCACATAAGGCCTGAGACGAGCTAATGGCAGCACATTCACAGAGCGCAGGGATGAATAGTGCAAATGTTATGTCTATAGATGAAAGATTAATAGATGGCCTTAACATTTTATCCACTGTAAGGCTAGGAAATTATCTACCCAAAAGGCAGAAAAAAGGCAAAAATATTAATGGACATAAAAGTCAAGGGCAGGAACATGATAAAACAAAAGTCCAAGATAAAAAAAACAAATTCAAAATCCAAAACAAACAGGAACAACGACAGACAAAGACAATGGACCAGCAACAAGGGGAGAGGAGCACTGGTACATATAGACACAGACACAGGTAAAACACAATGGGGCGGGGCAGACAATCAACAGCGGAACAAGACAGAAAGTAATACTAAAATAAAACGGTGGGGGGCCAATGACAAAATAAAACAACACATAATCCACACCAGAAATGAAAACTATTATCAGTATGAGTACTACAGTAGATTTCCAAAAAATCTCACAAAAAAACCACTTGTCACCAGTGATTCATGTAATATTGAGGACAGCAGAACAGTCCTTTCTGGGAACAGTCCACAGTCAGATATCAACTACAGTTTAATTTTTTTTCTCAAATAAGTAATATTCAAAAAGCATCCGTATAATATGAAAGGTTTGTCTAATTACTAACAATTAATGATCTGGACATTTTCATTTTCAACATTTCTTTTTCTATTCCCACAAAGTTGTATTGGTCCTCTCCTCCTGTCCTTGACCTGCAATAGAATTCTACAACATGAACACAACCGAACATCAATCCAGATCCACTGAAAAAACAGTTGCTATGATGCTGTATATAACAGGAGATAACAGTAGTATTATGTATGATACAAATACTAAACTATTGCAAAAGATTAAAGATGATATAGTAAATAAGCTGTGTAACCTCGGACAGTGGACTAAAGTAACAACACATTCATTCAATTTGTGTTTATTCCTCCAGGTCTGGTCTCATATCCCCTATTCTCTAGACTGGAGAGACTAAAATGAAGTTCAGAGTGAATGAATAGCATATTTTGGCAGGTAAGCCTCAATCCCCTGTGACCCTGAGCTGGAATGGGATGATAAAATATGAATGAATGTACACAACAGTTGTGTGCAGTTTATTATAGAACGCTACAAGGACAGGTATGACGCCAGTGAGATCCTTTCCTTCAATTCAAACCCTCGATATTGCACTGAAGCTCTCAGGCACTTTGCAGGAAATCATTAATAGGGAAACAATTATTAAAGGTCATCAAGTATCAAGTATTTAGGAGGATTTTTCAGTTGTTTGCTTTCGCTGCCCCTCCATTTTTGCTGATTTATAAATGGACTAATTGCTTAACTAAGTATGTGTGGTAAATGAGTACTTCAGATTCGAAGAGGTTACACACAAAAATCACATTTCAAACAAACAGGATGACATTTCAAACCAAAAATTTGATTCTGTTACATTTGGCATTTCTTGGAGAGCATTTGGTCTCTCATCGAACACACCTTGCATCTAGCCTTGAACATTTTCCTATAGCTTCCATCATCCCCTGGTGGGGCATAATAAGCGCCGTAAAGCCAGTCGTTAACATGCCAGAACATACACACAGTAAAGTAGCTCCTTTTACAACACTATTCAATACTACCTGTCCTCCCTGGCACCCGGGCGGAACGCCACCGCACCGGCCATTGCACAGGACGTCCCAGGAGCAGTGTTGGAAAGAGTCTGAAGGTAAATGTATGCAACTATAAAACCCCTTTTATTGGGCTTTAAAATAAAAGGGGAGGCATTGTTGGCTAATAAGACAGTAAACTCCACAGGGGAAGTAGTAAAAGACATGCAGACTAAGGGAAACCAGCTCCCCTGGGACTTCTGTGCTCTTTTGGACTTTATTTCACAAGTTTAGTTAAAGATGACTTGCTAGAAATGCATTGAACTTTGAAGCCCAGTTGTGTTTTATAGAAGTTAGACATTACAGCTCATAACTTTCCTGAAAAAAAGACTAAAACATAAAAGATATACAGTATATATTCTACTTGCATTGTACTGCCTCACACTGCACACCATAAACTGCAGTTACGGTCTTGGTTTTGTTCTTGTTGAGTAGTTTTGTTCCGGCCTGCTCGTCACACCAGATGCTGTGGTACTGCTGCGGACTCTGGCAGCTTTTAAGTTGCGCTCATGAGACAGTGTGGTCGCAGTAATTAAACAAATAAACAGGGAAAAGTGCTGTGGAGGACAACGGAGAACTGTGGCGTGCGGCCATAGTTGACAAGGGTCTGAAGCTCTCCTGGTTTTTCATTGAGCAGAAAGACTTTGCAGTAGTCCAGACACATACTGTAGCATTCAGTGGGAGCTCAGATGTAGCAAGATGCAATTCAGAAGTCAACACAATATGTCATGGACCAACAAGTTACAAAGTGAACCTTTAGATCCCATGGAAACAATAAATGAAAATCCTAGCCCGTGTATTGTGAAGTATTGTGAGATGGAGCCTAGATGGTCAATTAGCAGCGGTGGATAGTAGCTCTGCGGTTAATGAGGCAGAAAGGAAACGGCAGGAGAAAGTGTTTGTACAGTGAAAGAGGATTGAGGGAAAAACAGATTTATAATAATAATTAATTCTTTTTAATATGGCGCATTTCTGGGCACTCAAGGTAGTAACAAATTGTTGACTAATTGCTTGTGAACTTGTTGAACTTATTGTTGTTGTCATTCATATAATTCCCGGATATACTGCTTAAAACATATGCAATACACTAAACTTAGGCTTTACACCAAAGTTCACTCTCTCCCTACCAACCTCCCGCTCCTCACAGCTCCCCACGGCTGATTCTGTAATATAGTGCCTATACTGCAGCAAATGTGGTGATGAGATAAATATCCATTAAGAGTTATAATAAAAAGCGGATTCTTACGCCTGTGGATGTAAGATGAGGGCTGAACTATAACATCTTCTAGGAGTGAACAACAACCAATGCTAAACAATCTGAGGGATTATGTAAAAAAATTAAAAATAAAATAAAACTAGAATAAATTAAAGAAAGTATTAATGCCATAGAGTGTGGATCTGTGACCATTGTACCTTTCTTATAAGCTCCTTGAGATATGCATTCAGTTAAATATATCATCACATATAACTTGTTATCTGTTTCCCAAAATGTGTCTGTGAGAGTAGAGTCACACTGATAGAGCCTGGTTCACTTCTCAGCCCAGCAGGAAATGATTAAAGTCATGGTCCAGTGATGGCTGGTTGCCACCGGCCCTGTTGGCACAGTGTGTACCCCTCACCAGCCCCTTGGTGCTTAGAAACAACACACATACACACCATCCTTCACACTGGTGCACGCACTCACCTGTGAACCTCCATTAGCCACGGCACACTCTACCTAAAAGTTGGCACTTCTCTACAAGGCAGCAGCAGGAACAGCACGGTAGGCTGATGAGGCACACAAAAAGGCAGCATGGGTGTTCATTAAAGCGCCCTGCCCCATTCACAGGGAGAAACAAGGCCATAAAGGCAATTAATCTGGCCATAAACAAGCTATTCTGTCTGTCCGGCGCACCCGCAAACTCGATACAATTCTACTGTGGGTGCAGAGAGGAGGGGTGTGATTCCTACTTATTCTCATTATCTTGCACAATCTATTTGATTCCGTGCCAACGCGCAGATAAATCCACACATATTGAGCTGGTTGATCTGAAAAGAGCAGTTATCTGAAGCCTGTATCACTCTTTAGCAGCGATAGCAGAACGTGGGTAAAGAGTCCCACAGCACAGACTGACAGGAAGCAAGGGAATCGACAGTGAGAGCGAGATCTGTGGACGCTTGTAACATGTCTTATCCACATGTCTGCATGCAATGTACAAGGTCAGACTGAGTCTCTTGCAGCTTCAATTACGAACATGGCTTCTGCTGTAGAGAAGAACATGTGTTGTGTTTTTTTTAGAACCGGGACTTTAACGCAAAAAATATTTTTTTTATTTTAAAAAAATTGACGCACCGTGGAACCTTCCTCACTGGATGAGTTTCAGACGGACCCATTATACTGGTGCACCAACTCGAGCTCCGTGCATGGCCCAAGCCCAAGGATCTATTATAATAACTGGATAGGGTATTACAGCTTATAGCTGAATAACTCATGTGCTCGGGGGATTCTCGCTGTACTGCAGACTGAACCAGACTAAATTCACGTGGGCTACCCATACATTTTCCCCATAGAACTCAATGCAAATTAAAACAGCTCGACCTCAGCTGACAGAGAACCTACAGCTTTCATAAAGGTCGGATTTTGTGGGGATTTTTGTGTCCCTTGTCATCCTGAACTTTTTTTCTTCTTAAATCCTTCGGTTTTGTTTAAATCCACACTTTATGCCACAAACTCTGCTCGTCTGGCTCTCGCTCTAACTCCCGCTCTGATGAACTGCTCTGATTGGTCAGAGCGCGGCCGAGCCCCTCTGTGCACGTGCGTGAGACCCATGTGAGACCCACACACACGTGTTTGGCGCAACGCATTATGGGAGATCATCCACTGCGCAGAACCGGGAGGACCAGACGATGCCCAAATACAGGCGAGTTTCCCATAGATCTTTGCGAGTTTCCCATAGATCTTTGCGAGTTCCAGGCGACTCCCGCTAATCTTTCAGCCCCCATGCCGTCACAAAGCGCCACTGAGCACAACCATTCATTTGAATAGGGCGCCATCTTGGATCGCCGGGGCTTGACGCCCTATTCAAATGAATGGCTTGTGCTCAGTAGCGCATGGGACTTTATGGAGACCAGGAGATTAGCAGAACTCGCCTATATTTGGGCATCGTCTGGTCCTCCTGGTTCTGCGCAGTGGACGAGCTCCCATGATGCATTGCGCCAAACGTGCGTGTGTGGCTTTCATGCACGCGCACAGAGGGGCTCGGCCGCGCTCTGACCAATCAGAGCCCTATTTGCACGGTGTGGCGAGCGGGTCTGTCACTAGCTGTGTGCGCCAATGTATCAGTAAACTCCGGGGCGACTCTCACGCTGCACGCGCCACATGCACGCACACATGCACACGCACACACACGCACACACACACACACACACTTTCCCCCCTCCATTGTTACGTAACATCCACACACCAGTGTTGCCAACTTAGCGACTTTGTCGCTAGATTTAGCGACTTTTCAGACCCCTATAGCGACTTTTTTTCAAAAAAGCGACTAGCGACAAATCTAGCGACTTTTTCTGGTGTTATTGGCGACTTATCTGGTGTTATTGGCGACTTATCTGGTGTTTTGGCGACTTATCTGGTGTTTTGGAGACTCGTGAAGCACGTATTGTTCTGCTGTCCTCAACGTGAGCCCCTCCCCCGTCCCAAAGCACTTACAGGCGGCCAGTCTCACAGTAGCCTTGCGCAGCAGTCCCAGCTACAGTCTATGGGCGGAGCAGAGAGAGAGAGAGGAGACTCAAAAGCACAGGAAGTTTTCAGGCTGCTGCAGACTGAACTTCAGCTCCACCACCACCACACATCCAAAGCTCCCCGGCCACTCCTACCACCGCCACCCCCCACTACCCCCCACTCCATCCGCGGCAGCTCTGTCCGTGACTCTGTTTTCTCTCAGTAGTGGGTCACATTAAATCATTTGTTATGCCAAACTATGAAAAAAAAAAAAACGTACAAAAATAAACCTAAGTAACTCTGCCAGAGTGTGTCTTTTGGGTCACTTTGCCGGTCCCAAGCCCGGATAAAGGAGGAGGGTTGGTTGTAGAGCTAGCAATTTCACCCTACATAACAATCTTTTGATTACATTTGCTGTTATAATATTTAACAATACAGGACAAAACTGATGTGTGTAATGTGGATCTAGACAAAGCATTAAAATCATTAAATGTTGTTAATGTTGAAATTATTTTTGTACATTTGTAGTTCTAAACATATTTAGGGTGTTTTTACTCACTTTTGTCTCTCCCACGACCTTATTCCTCTCTCCTACAGCGTCCGTTACAGTTATTTGCAAATGGCAAATTATGCAAA